ACTGCCCGGATACTGCTAACCTTCTGAGGCTAACTTGAACAACAACCAGAAGAATGTGGGTATGTCCCTGCGCTGTCCACTACAGTCACTGGCCACATATCAATACTTAAAACAGAATACGTGTCTGCCAGTCAGAACTGGGAGTCACTACTAGAGGGAGATGCTCACAGATTTCCAATACTCCCCCAAAGAGTGCCACATTAATTACTCTTTATATTGATAGTGGGTCAAAATGGTAGCACTGTTCAAATTCAGGGTTAAAAGGGCATTTTACTAAAATCAATGTCACCTGTTTCTTTTTAGTCTCTTTAATAGGTTACTAGTGGATGCTAAATTACATATGTGGCTCCAACTTGTGGTTTGAATTCTATTTTTGTTAGACCACACTGCTCTGACATGTTTAAAGGATGAGACGGTGAATGCAGCAATTCAGGTGCTACAGAGGAAATACATTCATTCATTCACACACACACACACACACACACACACACACACACACACACACACACACACACACAGAGCCAAGAATTCACAGGTAGCTGTAAAGTCATTCAAGCAGGGAACAAAGTTGGAGGCCAAGGACACCTACCCTAGATAGTTCCGCTATAGTCAACCAGGCAATGAATGTGAAAACACAGCATAAACAAGGAAGTTGAAGATTCTCCCAGCCCACCAAAGGAGTTCATCTAGTTGAATAACTTTGGATTGGGATCTTCTGACTAGGACCAACTACAGGACATATACTTCCCAACATAAAAAACATCCCCAAGCATAAGTAAATTTCATGAGGTGGTGCCTGTGCATGGCATGAAATACCTCTGCTATGTTCTGTCCTGTGTCCTCTTCTATCTTCCCTTCTCTAACGCTGACTGATTTACCAAGTGATTCGGCAACTCACCAGCAAACAGTGATTCTAAATCTAACAGAGACGTAGTAATCCAGAGGTATGCGTGTCATTTGACCACTGCCGCTCTCTCTAGAATATGGGAGCACAGATGTAGTTTCAGCGGCTTTCTCTACACGAAGATGAAGCAGCCACAGCTAACTCCTTTAGAGTCAGAATCAGTGAGGAAACCAACACATTCCCATCCTTTAACATCACAAGCATAGCTCTACAGGAAATAGTGATTTGCCTAAGGTCATTATCAAGACCTTGGGAGAGCTAGCCCTGAGTACCCACAAAGCCACTTCTTGTCACCACAAAGAAGACACAAACCGTCATGAAATTCTACAATGTGACAATTATTGAGAATTCCCTATGCCCATGCGAAGTCAGCTTGTCTACACCCAGTCAAACGGGGCAAGAAAGTTTTCACCACCCACGAAGAAGAAGGAAGGATTTTGAGTTAGTGGAGACTTTGGAGCAAGGGCTGAAGCAAATGTGAGGAAGAAGCTGTATCTGACCTTGGAACAGTTCACAACTGATCCCAAATGGCACAAGCCATGGGCCATGTGTCTTCTAGATCCAGCTGACCAGCCATCTTTGTTGTTCTGCAAGCAAGCCTTGTTTAACTCGACCTCTGAGCAAAGCTCAAAGTATAAGCAAGCTGTTCTTCCTTGCTTGGTCCAAGTCAAACTATAAATCGTGTCCTTGAAATTTCAAACCTTTTTAGAAAAAAAAAATCTCCTTAGGCAGAAAAGCAAAACATTAAGTAATAAGACTCTCCACTGTGAGAGGGAATATAAATTATCTTTCACCAAAATAACCCAGGCCATCATCAAATTACCACCCCTCAAGTCCAATTTGCCAAATCTTTTGGCCAATATCATATGAGCATGATAAACTGACATGAACTAATAAAAATAGCTCCTACATTCATTTTTTGGCCTCATGTCATCTGAGATAGTAGAAGCAGAAAGAGATGAGGCCCAGGTCAGCTCACACCTCAGTGACACCAAGAGAAACAAAAGAAAACTAGCCCCGCCCCCAACAGGACCATCCATCGTGCACTTCATTTTTCTATTTCCTACACACAAACATGATGAGAATAACCAATTCTGCAGGGAGGGAAAAAAAAGGTCTACAAAACAAATGATTTGCAGTTCTAGCCATAAACCATAACTACAGAGACAACAAAACAAAATGTTCAACAGACTAGATTGTAGGAATCTGAGTGGCATGGCAGATTGCAGGCTGCACAAAGGGATGAGCTGAAAGATTTTCAATCCTTTGCACTAGAGGTAACCTCTTATCTTCAGCCCTGACTTTTTCTCAGATGCCCTTACCCCATCCAACTGTCCCTACTTCATTTCCTCTCCAGCACTGCTAAATTTGAGCCCACTATCTCAGGAGGCCTCCAGAACTCCTGAAATTGTAAATTCATTGACCGTAAAGACATTGCCCTAAATAATTCAACAGAAAAAAAAATATTTTTTAATTATGCTAGTTAAGAGAAAGAAAAAAAGGCTCATTCCAAATATGTCAGGATGTGGCCAGTCAGCCTTGAAGGATTTTGTTAAAAAAAAAAAAAAAAAAAAAAAAATTAAAATCTCCCAAATGCAATGGCGATGATGGGGACTGTCAAACCTGTGCCACTGTTAAATTCATTTCACAGAATTAGGAGCCCTTGAGAAAGCTAATTACCATAAGATGAGGTTGGCAAGGCATGGACTAGGGCCACCAGGCCTCCAAGATTCACTGGTTGTTGGTCATGGGACCAGGGTAGCCCATCCCCACCCCAGCTCCTACCTCAAGTCCTACAAAATCCCCCAACTGCTACCAACATACTCCTTTTGAACTGAAAATTTTGAACTTTTTTTTTTTTTTTTTTTTTTTACTAAAAAGAAATCTCAGCACATCTGGTCAGACTCGTTTATCACAAATTTCCCTTCTTGGAGCAGAGATCTTATTTTCATCTGTCAAATTTCAATCCAGTCAATATCTGTCATTTGAATTTTTTTCCCTTTTTTGTTTCACCTCCATTTGATTCATCTTAAGGCCCAAATCTCCACGTAAAATATTGTTTGTAAAATGCCTTCAAATTCGAAAGGCAAGCATCTCTGGGTTTGGCTTTTGTGTGTATTCTGATTAGTTTTTCTTTCAAAGAGAAATAATAAATTTTGCTGCTAGAAATAGCTGAGTTGGTGTTTTAGTCCATTTCTTCAGCAAAGTGTTTTTTTACTGAGAAAGATGGATACAAATCAGAATTTTCATCTCTCTGCCATTCTCTTTCATCTTTTTTTCTTGCTGGGTCAGTAAAATTTGCGCTTTTTTGTTGTTACAAACCCCCCCCAACACACACACTCCCCAAATGATCAAGGCTAATGGATATCTTCTCCTTTGAAAGTAATGGAAAAATTTTGAAAAATACAAAATATTAACAAATTATCCAACCCCACATCACAAAGAAACCTGAAGCCAACACAAATTTTATAATAAAAATAATAATATTCTAGTTGGAAGAATGAACAAGACTGAAAAGGAGAAATTCTCTTTAACAAGGATTCGTTTAATCTTCATCAATTTATTCACTTTCGTGCCATAAAAAAATGGGCTTCTGCGAATCCACTGTTAGTTTTTCATAATAATGTTAATTATGCATATCTTATTTTAATGGCGGCCTCTCCTACAAATCTGTGGGCTACTCAGTTTGTACAATATATGAATTGACATTTTTCCCCACTGAACGTTGCTCAAGAAAAAGGTCCCTGACATTTTCTAGATAAAAACAACAACAGAACAAGAAATGCCTAGACCTTGCAGCAAACAAAATCAGGAAACAGTCATAATTATTCCATCAAAGCAAAACACACACACACACACACACACACACACACACACACACACACACAAAACCTAACAAAAACCAGAAAAAAGACAGGCAGGATTTCACTCTAACTTTTCCAGTTTCTGTTTTTCTTAGAATCTTAGGAGTTAAATGCAGTAAAATGTAAATGAAAAAAATTTAAAGCTACAATCTTTGGGTGTGTCCAAAGCCAACATTTTAGAATCTATTTTCTCTTCTAAATCCTTCTTTCTTGGAAATGGAAAAACTTTGAACACTGCCAAATGGTAAAATTAGTCATCTTTGCCCACCAAGCAAAACAACTCACAAATTACAATGCAACACAATTTCTAATTACTTCATAAAGCCAATTACCCTAGCTTTCCCTAAACTGAACTATTTCCCTCCTTTCCTCGTTTCAATTAGTTTTTACCCCCCTTCAAACTAAAATGACTTGGTTACCTAAACTGTCTTTGCTTTTAGAAGGTATTTTTGTTTTCTCCCCTTCAAGAATTGAATTCATTCAAATTCCAGCTTAATTTTCATTTACATATTATCTGGATTTGGCTTCAGAAATAAAAATTGTGTCCATGTTTCTTCAATGATCAAAGTGAAAATTTTCACTCCAAAAAAGATAGAAAAAAAGAATCTCTTCCCTCTTCCACCGCTTTGTAGAGGAAACTTTGGAAAAAATAAGAAATAAAAAATATTTCTTTTCAATTTTAATTTCTTTTTTTATTATTTACAAAATAGTATCCTCTAGGTGGCGTCGTTTTAATGGGAAAAAACTACCGTTTGAAGAAAAATTAGAAAAAAAAAATTGAGAGGAGGAAATATGGCCTTTAAAAAAAAAAAAAAAGATTGTTGCAAAGATGGGGGCCTGTAAGGAAAGCTCTCCTGGGGGGTCACCAGGGACCCTGAGCGCAGAGAGGGTCAGGGGAAAATTGCAAATTTCGGGAGAGGGGGGAGAGCTGGAAGAAGGTTGCATTTGCTCAAAATCTGAATTGTCCAAACTGCAATGGCTGCTCCGTGCTCTCGCCGCTTTGTTTCTGGGCTCCGGTCCGAGCAGGGGGCCGCGGGGGGCGCCCGGTGCGGGGTCCCCGTCAGCCCCGGCCGCCGCCCCCGCGCTGCCCGCGCCCCGCAGCGCCCCAGGGGGGCCGCTCCCGCACCCTAGCCGCCTGGCCCCGCTCCCGAGCCCCCAGCCGGTGCCCGCGCTCGGCAAGCCGCGGGGCTAGCGCGGTCCCCGCCCCGGCCCCGGCCCCGGCCCCGCGTTACCTGCGGAGCCGCCGCGCCGCCCGGCTGGCTCATCGGTCCGTGCGGGAGGAGGCGGCCCCGGCGCGTCCTGCTCCTCCCGGGCCGGGCTGCGCCGCGCGCACAATGCCGCTGCCACCACTGCCGCCGCCGCCGCCGCCGCCGCCGCTGCCGCTCCCTCCTCCGCCCGCCCCGCGCGGGCCGGGGGGCGGGGGCCGGGGGCGCCGGGGGGGACCGCCGCGGGGACCGCAGATCGCCCCGCCGGCCCGCGCCCGCCGCGCCGCGCCGCGTCCCGCACCGCCCCCGCCGGCCTCCGAGCAGCCGCCGGCCCCCAGCCTCTCCTCGGCCTCCGCCGCCGGCCTCCGCGCCGCCCCGCGCCGCACACAAAGCCGCCGGTCCCCCGCGCCGCGGCCGGCCCCCCAAACTTTTCCCGCGCCAGCCCCGTGCGCGGGGCATCTGCTTGCGTGCGGCGGGGGTGGGGGCACCAAAAAGTTTTGGGGAGCGGCCTCAGTTGGGACAGAAGGGGTTAATGGGAACACCTCTCCTCCCCTACAGAATACCCACCCCCAAAGTCAGCTTGATTTTTTAAATAAAAGTTTGGGAGAGGGCAATTGGAAGGCTTCCTGGGAATATCCGCGTAGCCCAGGCTGCCCCTACTCCCCCGCATCCCCCCCCCATTAGTTTGAGAACTGAGGGCCAAGGGGACTCTCCCTAATCCCCCAGCAAATCTGATTTTTAATTTACTGTTTAAGAACACTCTCTTCTGTGTAATGTCAGTGAAAGACTCTTTACCCTCCTCTGCCAAAAAATTTCAAGTCATTTTAAAACAAAACCAAAACAAAAAACAAACAAACAAAAAAAAAAAACTTAAAAACTGGCCCTATAGTAAAAGGAGAGGTTGAAGGTTGAACAAGGGTCAGTCCCTACTCCAATTTAGAAAAAGAAAATTTTGACTAAGAGCTCTTACTTAAACTGAAAGGTGAAAGAGGCTGGCTTTTTGGAAAAATCCTAAAAATACAAACTTTCTCTTGAGGAGCTTCCTCCTTATGACTTAGGAAGATTTAAGAGACTTGGTGTGTTTTGTTTTTGTCCTCCCACTCCCCAAAATAGATTTTAAAAATAATAAAGCAAAAAAGTCTGGCCTATATGGAAACTAAAGAGAGCCCTAGATTCTTTCCCACAACTGGGTGAGTTTTAGAATAAAAAGTTGAAGAATCACCATTAGATGAGAAAAAAAACCAACATATTTTATTACCCCTTCTCTTGAGAAAACAATAAGGGTAGGTTTTTGTTTGGTTGGTGGGTTTTGTTTCATTTTAATGGAAACTAAGGGTAGTAAATGTGTGTTTTCTCTGACTCTAGCTTAAGAAGGCATGTGTAGGGGTTTTTAATGTTCAAAAAGCAAACTCTACAGGAAGGAAGGACTTTAGAAATGTCCCCTTAGAACCTCTGCCCCCCCACACACACACACGTAATTATTTTTTTTAAAGACACCACTCTCCTGGAAGAAGGAATTTGTGGGAACCTGGCAAATACACAAGAAGTTAAGAGGAATCCTCTAGTTCTGGAAACCTTAAAAGTCAGTAATTCATTTAAAAAGTGGAGGTTTCTTCTCCCCCAAGCCTAACAAGTATATTCCTGGCAGAGATCTGGCAGCATGTGCCAAGGCCAGCACAGATCAGGTGTGGAGGAGAGCTGGCAGTCAGAAGCCTGGCAAAGTCCTTAGCTTACTACTGTCAGGTAGTCCCCTGTCTGCTTGCCTCTCTCCTCCTCCAAGATGCTGGAGCCTAGGTATTTGGAGAGGCCTCTGGTTCAATGTCTCTCTGACCCCACCCCTTGTGTATTGTTTTCAGAGCATCTGCCTTCTGGCCAGGCCCAAGCTAAGCCTAAAATATGATGCCCTGGACTAGTTAAGGAAGGAGATCCACAGTGTTATGGGTATCAAGAGAAAAGTCCTACTCTGATAATCAGGAGAACTGGATGCAGTCACTGTTCACTGAGCAGTTACTGTATTTGTGTGTCTAGCAGGGCAGATGAGCCATCAACAAAAGCTTACCCTAGTCCTTCTTGACCTTGAACCATCCTCCAGATTGGCAATTCTCAACCTGGAGTTTTTAATTCATTCAGCTGAGGTAAGGGACAAATAATTTACATTTCTGTTCCCAGTAGCTGCTTACATAAAAACACCCTTTTTCAAGCCACTGTAGTAACCTGGACAAAGTGAAATACACAGGTGCAAGAGAAAAGACCCAGTCCACTCCAGGAGCATAGCAGAGATACCAAGAGAAGTTATACTTGACTGGCCTGTGTGTAGAGCATCCTCCCCCTCATCTTCATCAAACACAGGATCTCTCCAGAACAAAGGTTGAGTTCATAGGCGTTTAAGGATCCAAGAACTAACCCCTAAACAAAATTTTGTTTTCATGTATATTTGAAGAGAGAAAATATCTTCCACCGATTTCCCAAAAGGGTTCGGTGACATGCAACAGGGAATGATAGATAGCCTGTCACCTCCTGCTTGTGAAATCCTGTGGCCACCTTCAGCCTTTTCTTTATGGAATCATTGCACAGCTCTTCTGCTTCTCTGCCTCCCATAGGTCAGAGGACCTGAACCTCATCTGGACACCACCACCACCACCACCCCACCTCAAGAGTATCAAGCAACAATGTATGAAGAAGTCTGTCCGCTGCAATCACAGACCCAGAGGATACATCACTGCTGCCTCTACCCTAGCTGGACCTTGGAAAGGATACTAGCAGGATACCATCTAAGTTTAATAAACCTGGTTTATAATTGAACCCACATATTCCCTAAGCCTCTGTAGAAACTACACAGTCACCTATAGCTACTACGGTACAGTCACAGCAAGCAGGACACATGAAAAGCTTGGAGTGTCCTGAGGACCTCCAGGAGTTAGAGGCTAAGTCCTCTAAGTGGTAGGAAGCAGTGACGTGGAGGCCAATAAGACTAGAAAACTCAAGTCATGCAGAGGGCTTTGAGGGAAGGATGATGCCAACATAGAAGACCTCAGGGTGGGCTGGAGGAAGGTGGCAGGTAGAGCAGGCAGGGTAGTCTGGGACAGCTCAGTGGACAAGTCCCAAACTTCTCAGTGGTGGGACAGACAGACAAAATGACCACACACATTGGCAGATACATAGTCCAGCAGACACCTCCAAAGGCTTCTTCATTTTGTACTTGGGCTTGTCAAAGGTGGGAAACATCTAGCCCTTCCACGTGCAGCTCTCAGCTCTCCCCTACCCCGCCTTGCCCAACACCTGCAGTGTGCTGTGATTTCTAAGAGCCCAACCTATGGAGCCAACCATTTCATCCTCAGCAGGTTGACCCTGGGGTGACAGGAATTCCACTGACTGGCTGGTATGGAGACCTCTGTCCTTCCTAGGCATGTTTTAGGAACTTATGTTCCTAGCTAAAACTTGGGGCACTCCCACCCACCCACCCATCCACCCACCTACCCACCATGAAGCAGATGATGTTGTCAAAGCCATTTTGAAGAATAGGCCAGAATTGCCTACTGAAGGTGAGGCCAGAGAACGAATGAATAAAGCAGAGCCTTCGGTTCTGTATTTGACCAGTGAGATTTCAACACCTCACCAGTCTCGTGAGCCCTCTTTTAGTTAGAATCAGTAGAAAAAAAAAATTCATGCTAAAAAGTTCAAAGTAAAAACATGGGACTAGAAACATGGCTCCATCAGTAAACTGCTTAGAACCTGCGTTTTGTGCTCCAAAACCCATTGAAAAACAACAACAACCAAAATACACAAGTGTTGACATCACATGGTACAGACGTGAGGATCCCTGGGACTCACTCACTGGATAACCCACTCAGTTTATTTGGCAAGCTCTGGGCTAGTTAGAGACTTTGCCTCAATAAGGGTTAAAAAAAAAAAAAAAAAAAAAAATGGTGGTGATACCTGATACCTGAGGAATGACACAAGAGTGTTCCCTGACCTTGCCTCTCTGGGCTCACAGTCAAAGTGGTCACCCACAGGTCTGCTTATGCCAACAGGTGCTGACTGGTATATTCGGGCACCACTCCAAACTCTAAAGAGAGAGACTGTGGTTGGCCTGCCTCATGTGTCACTGGGTGCAGGTCATCCATGACCAAGGAGAGGGCAGGGCCACTCAGTACACACAGACTCCTGAGACACTCCCTGATGGAAGCATAGGAAGGGTGTGGCACTGAACAGACCTGTCCAATGGCACCCTTGTGGAGGGACTGGGGAAGTCCCTGAGACATCCAGTCCAGGGCTGTACCCAGGGCTGGTGCTCTCCATGGGCTCTCCTTCTGGAGCCTGTCCATACTGAGACTGCAAAGGGCAGGGGACAAATGTCAAGCTTTCACCACAGGCAGGTGTTCTGGAGACAGAAAGGAACACCAGAGAGCCTAGGAGCTGACTAAAGCCTAGTGGGTGTTTGCTTGTGGGTGAGAAAGACTCGCATGCAGCAAAGTTGAAGGCTGAGAGACAGAACAGAATGGAGTCAGGGACCAGCACACAGCTTCTCTGCAGTATGAGAGCAGCGTTCTTAGAAGGGTCCAGCAAGGGTGCCTGGGCTCCTGGAAGAACCTCACAATCTAGTCTCATACATCCCTTAAATTTTTTTCAAATAAGTTGCAGCTTTTTTTCTAAGCGGACAGACCACATTTCTGAGGCAAGAGGAGGAGGTACCTATCCCCATTTTAAACATGGGGAAGCTGAGGCTCAAGCCTTGAAAAGCAGACTGACTCCTGCCCAATGCTCTTTCAGGATGTCCCTGCTGCTTCTGCCCCTCTGGAACCTTCCTGTGACAGTAATCAAGCAGGCTCTTTCAAAGCCATTTACATTTCCTTGGGAATTTTCTTCTTTACCTTGTTTTTAACCCTCTCCTTCCTCGCTTCCAAGGGGAAAGAGGTTCAAAAGGGACTGAGATCAGCCAGTGGCAACTTACTTTCTGGAAAGGCATCCTTGCAGTCATGGTAGGAAAGTTTCTAGGGAAGCAGGTACCCATGGCCTTGACTGTGCCCCAGGGAAATGAGCCTAAGTGGAAAGACCCGAGAGAATAAAGATTCAGGACAGGGACTCTGCGAACTTGGGAAGTCCCTGACAGGAACCAGAATTAAGGCCAAGTGTGAGCAACCTACCCCTGTACCCAACACCAAAATCGTAT